ATAAACCAGTTTTAAAACGTTGTGTATATGCCTCTCCCCCATCCCTCACTAAAATCAGCTCTAAAACTCTGACTTCCAGTCCCTTCTAATGGGACCTGATGTGTCCTAGAGCCCAGATCTATGCACAAGAGTGACTTTACACACATGAATAGTCCCTGGAGTTCAACCATGTGCAAAAAGCTATTTGTGTGCCCAGGTCCTTGTGGAATCCAGGCCTTAGTCTAACCTGCTTCATTTAGCTGTCAACACAGTAGTCTCCGGTTTGCCTAGCAATTATTTCTTTGTCATCTGATGAGAGGTTAGGTGCTCTTTGATACTGTTGGTTCAGCTTTCCCTTCCTTTATGTGCTGCAGTGCCCAAAAGGGATATGTGGATCTCTTAATCAGATATCACATTGATGTTAGCTGTCACTATGTACAATACCTAGATACGTTCAACCTTACAAGCATTTGTGAGTGCTCCTTTGGGGACAGTTACGGGGTAGTTACAGTGCCTAGAGGATGCTTGAAGGAAGGCTGTTAGTGAGAAACAGGGATTAAGAATAGTTTTTATCCATGCTCACCGATGGTCCTAGCACAAACAATCAGGCATTCGCTTAGTGTGGGAGGGATCTCCCTCAGCCAAGTGAGATGGAGTTAGAAACCATCTGACAGAGGTGAGGGAGGTCACACATTACCCTCTGCCTGGGGATCCTCCCGTGTTTAATGTTGGCTGTGCTGCAAAATCAGATTATCCCAGAAAAAACAGTTTTCATTATACTGTTCTTCCCTGGATAATGTATCAGTCAACATTTCACATTTCATCCCCAAGGATTTGTGTGCTTGTGCTATGTTCGGGGTTTTCACCGTCAAGAGCAGAATGTTAAAGTCTAAACTGAAGGTAGGAATAAACCCTCAGAATTAGAAATGCTGCACTGAGGCTCTGGACAGAAGGTCTGTCCTGACTCAGGGCTCTTTCTAGTGACTCTCTATAGCTTGGTGACGCTAGGCTCTTGAGTCTTGCTGTAGTCAACTTGCGTTGGAACAGGTAATTGAGGGCAGGAACCTAACATCAGATGCAACACGTCACTTCCCAGGAGGAGCCTGTCTTTCTCCCTAGGTTTAGAGAGGGGATGTTGTGCTAAGACCTATTTGTAGCTCTGCAGGAGGCAACAGGCACTCGGCTATTTCTGGGGTATTATCACTGTAGCATCTTATCCCAAACCATGGCAGAGGATCTAAGGAAGGATGCTGCACCAGGTTCCTCACCTCAACCAGGCAGCAGTGTTAACTTCACAAAGAAAATGGCAGGGACAGCCACGGTACCGGCGGTTTCCTGGGTCTTTATACCTCATTCTGCAGAACAGAGCCTGCCAAGCTGGTTGTTCATCTGGAGAGCTTTGCTATGGGAAGGACATGGTTGGCACAAGTACTTGTTTTTAATTGTATGACCCTTGTAGACCTAGAGCAGGACCAAAGTTATTTAGCAAAGAAGAGGGGAATGTTATTATAGGCCTGGACACTGTAATTTGAGCTGTGCAATCAGAGCACATTAGCTTCAGCAGGACTTGGTCCATCACCATGGGTCTCCCACCCCACCCTGGACAGGTTGTAGGCTCTGTTTTTATAGTGTACCACAGAGTACTACCTCAGAGGGATGCTCTTCAAGTCTGAGAGTTTTTATATAAGGTGCAGAGTAGCTGCGAAAAACTTTTTTTGAGAAGTGTGAGACATTTATTGATTCAAGTCATAAAACTGAAATGAAATACATTCAAATGGTGAGCATTCACATTCATTCTAAGGAGAGAAAAGCACTGCAACTAAGCTACATGGCATATTTAAATAATATTTTTCTATGGGATGCCAACATCAGGTTAACTTTGCCCTTCCCAGAACCAGACCCCACCTGCCTGCGTTTCACAACTCCTTCAGTCGAAAGCCTACCAGCAAATAAGAGACCTGCACACAACACCCCAGAAGACTCAGTCTTTGTACAAGCTAACCAGTATCTACCTCCACCCCAGTTCCCTTGGCTCCACTGACCGGGCTGAATGGGAACCCGAAGCTAAGCAAACGTGAGGGTGCAGGGCTGTGAGCAGCGAGGTGTGCGGTGCCGAGCGTGGTGCAGCCTACGTGCCCGCAGCATCCTAACGCCTTCTCAAAGCCACCAGTCTCTGCAAATATATAAAGCAAATATGAAAGTGGAGTAGGTCCCTTTCTTCTCATCCAGCACACCCAGGGGCTGTCCCCAGCTTTGCCTCCGAAAAATGAAGTCTAGCTCTAAAGGGACCACGGGAGGTTAAAAATTTGTGAGGCATCATCCTGCCAGTTATGGCATTTAGGCGTCCTGACGTAGCACAGCCTAACCTTCTCCCCCACTACTCTCAGTATTGCCCTCAAACTTCTTTTTTCTAGTCCACTTAGCTTTGGCTCTGGTGTGCCACAAAGGGCACACGCTGTGTTTATATAAACCCTCTGTCACCTGGCAGCAGTGATCAAATATGTGTGTGGCAGAGGAATTTCTCCTCCTGTCCTCCATGGGGTAGAAAAGCACTGAAATTACACTTTGCTTATTCTTTTCTTCAGCTCCTGAAGCCAAAATAAACTTTAGGAATGAAGTAGCTCAGAAGTATAAACAGAATAATTGAAAAATACTTGTCTTTCTTTTAGCAAAAACAGTCTCAAATATTATAAAAGCCCAAGGGCTGCATTGCTGTCTGGTCACAACAGCAGCTGGGGTCTAATGCCAGCTGCCTGGCACTGCATTCCAGACCCCTCTGACAGTGTCACACTTGCTCAAGAGAGGTAAAATTCAGGCCTATTCAAAAAGCCAGCTCGAGACATCAGCTAAGCCCCACTAAGCCCTAAGGACAACTGAAGGCACAAGAGGAAAGAAATAAAGGATTATTTCAAACCCCAGGATTTTCTAAGTCAAAGCAGCCCCTGGCTGGAGTCACAGCATAAACAGCCCAGAGCAGATGACGGTGGTAGCTGTGTCCTGGGAGAGCTACACAGGACCCAGGCAACCCTCAGCTAGCAAATTAAATGACACTTGACAAACATATTCAAAGCTGTCGGCCGTTTTTTGGATTGTTTTTGCAAAGCTCAGCACGCGGTCTTTGAAGACTGCAATACCTCAGCACCATGAAATAACACGTGCCAAAGCTCGGCCCATGCTCAGTGTGAACTGATTGTTTCTAGAAACCGGAGGGAACTGGGAGTCAAGTGCAAGGGTGTGCTCGCCTGGTAGTGTCTCCTCTTGCAGACTTTGAGGCTTTTCTGTTCATTCTTTGCTAAATGTGATGCTGCACCCGGCACGTGTCATCCCGAATGTGTATAGGAATAATGGTCCTTCTTGAAAGAAACAGAGGAACTGCAGGGCTGGAACCCACTGGCTCTTTTGCTTCTGCAGCATCACGTGTAATAGAAGTTTTTAGGTAAGGCCATGCTAATAATGTCACACCGATGCACTGGACGGAGTTTGTGCTGGCCAGACTCCAATTTCTTATTCTGCAAAGGACTTTGGAGATAGAACTCTAGTGTCAACAGTTATGCAAAACTGGGGAGGGGGCGGATATCTTTGATGCTGAAGCAATGGCCAGGACTAGGTTAAAGTCCCAGCTAGAGGTCTGTAGGAAGGGTCAGTATGACTTCGAAGGGAGCCCAGAACATGCTGTCTGGGCAGGATCCCCTCGGGGAAGGATTCTGTGGTGCCGTGACATTAGCTGGCCTCTGCTGAGTTACAGATGGGAATTCACATGGCTCATGGAAGAAGCCAGACCCTCCAAAGCGGGAGTGATTCACTCTCCACACTAAGAGCATATGCCAGGCTAAGAGCGTTTTACTCAAATCCAGCAAAAAATAGATGAGAGCTGGGAGGTGGGAGGCAAGAAAATCACTGTTTCATCCAGTTGAAAAGTTAAACCCTAATGTTTTTCTTTTTGCTAGATATGTTGTCTTCACTATTCTGCTGAGAATAATGCTTCTCTTATAAGCCCAGCTAAAGATTTCTGGCTTATCAAGTTCAAGGCAAAGGAGAAGATAGAGATTTGAAGAGCAGGAGGGAAAAGAAAACATGCGGCTTTAATGTCAGAGCTTTGGAAGTTGAGATGCTTATCTAAGTCTGTTTTCTTCTTTCCTTGATTATGTTACTTTGAATTTGGACAAGGAAACCAGCCTGGCCAACCTCACTTCTGTTTCTTCTCAGTTTCACTTTTTGAAAACTCTATTGTCATAGATGTACACTCAGATATGCATCTCACTGAGGACAGTTTCATATTCACAAGACATTTCCTGAGCCAGGAGATGATGATGAGAGAGACCTTTATCGCTACTATCATTAAAGACCGTTGTCACCAGAGACCTGACAAATCTTGTCACACTAGCACTGATGATGGTGTGCCAGGCACCACTGCAAATTTGCCGTGAAGCCTTTACACCAGCACTCAGCCACGATGCCCACAAAGCAAGCAGCTCGCTATTTACTTCAACTGCATTTTTTGTGAATGGTGCTTTGGAAAATAGCAGGCTTTTGATTTGATTTTAATATAGCAGATGCTTCACAGTTGTGAATCAAGGAGTCGCTCCCTAGAATTATCGTTTTCTCCCATTGATTAAAATGTAACATATGAGTTCACACGTCAAATTATTTCCCAAAGACCTGACTCTTTCCATTTTTATAGGTGTGCAAAATCCTTTTGAAACAAATCTATTCTCCTAAATCTGCAATAATTCAGTAATAAAGCTAGCTCTAAATAAAAGGAAAGAAAGACTCTTAGCAGAAATGCAGGTGCTCGATGTTAGAAAAGAAAGAGATGAATAAAGGAAACTACAAACAAACTAAGGGGATCTCACTACCAACTCCACGCTCAACTGAATTGCATCAGTTTAAATGTAAGCACTGTGTGGGCTCCTAAATTAGGAACTATTTACAAAACAAAAAGCTTGCCTCTACTGTATTGTGCCTGTTCTAACCATATTGAATAGCCTGCCTAATGATGATTTCTTCTTTATTTGGGTCAGGTCTTGCTGAGGAAGAATTTTTTGAGAAACCAACGCTAAGCACTGACAAAGAGGACATTGTCATCTTACCGGGAGAGACCCTAAAAATAAAATGCAGGTAAGGATTGCTCCAGCAGTGCTGGATTGCCTTGGTTGTATTGATTACCTTGGCACAGCACAGCTCCTGGGTAGGATAGAGCAAAGCCTGCTGCCCAGCCAGCTGGGAAGCAGTGCTGTTCATCCTCACATGCATTTCTGCTTGAGGAGAATTTAACGGGCTGTAATAGAGCAGGGAGGAAAGTCTCAGGTCAGCATTCAGCTTGGCCAGATTTTTTACGTTGTGAAGGGGCCCAAGGAAAATCCTGAGTCAGCACATGGGAAAGTTTATGGGAGGGGGGATGTACCATGCTTAAGGACATGGCTGGAAAATCTTCATCTGAAAATAAGTTCAGATTCAGCTCCTCTGCAGCTAAAATCACACATTTGCTCCCTGCCCATAAGTAAACAACAGATAAGATCACCAGGGCATGTCATTAGCTCTTTACTTTATATATATACATATTATATATATATATATAAGCTTAACTTCATAAGCTCCAATACCATCTAGCCTGTAAGGTGACAGTTAAATAAACAGCAGTTAGTATGTGTACATTAAAAGACCTGACCTGTTTAAATATAAATATATCATATTCTTTAAATCAGAGATAACCAGGTCTCATAAAAACCCCAAGCTGCTGATACTGTAAATTATGGCAGCTCTTCAGTTCTTGGCACAATTTGTGAAAACTAGCCATGCACGAAACAAGCAAAAATCTTGGTGGGTTTACATGGAGATGAGCCTCTGGAAACGGGGGGATAGAGCGCTTGGTCACAGCCGACTGGCACGCAACTCAGTAGCAAATACAAAGAGTCAGAGCGCTTTCTGCTGTGTCAGAACATATATGGGCTTGTTCAGTCACACAAAAGGCCTCAGACTGAGATGTACGTGGGTGTTGCTTGTTCTGAGTGTGATTCATACACCAAGTTACTGTGAGAGGTTGTTTTTTAATTTTTTCTGAGAGCGTTGTAGGAGAGAAGGCTTAAGGTAACACAGACCATCACAGTTTCTCTCTCTCACACACACATTATTTTTACACCTTCTTGCAAATTCTCCTTGACTGTAGCCACTGCATGGATGGTTTCTTGCAACAGAAGTTACTGGAAACAGTAAGAAAAAGCAGTGGGAAGGTGAATCTAAGTTGTAGTTTATGGTGACACATGTCCCTTCTGACTTTTGTCCTAGTCTATTTAATTAATTGTTACAGTGAAAGGTAAATTGGCTCATACTGTGTAAATTTGTGGTGTCTTCTGGAGTGTAAGGCAGGTTTTTTTTCCAAATACCTCCAGCAAGCTGTGTGGCTTATGAGGTCAAAGCAACCTTAGAGTGGTATTTTTAGCTTGGCGAGCAGCAAGCACGATGGCAATAAAGTTTAAATAGCCCTTTAAAATCTAGATGCAGTGCTTCATAAAACACGTCATGCGGACATGAGCTCGGTGTAGTCCTCCAGGCCAATCAAATCAATACTTTTCAACAGTTCTCCATCCACTGCCTCTTTAATCTGCAGGAACATCTTATTTTTCTCGTATCACCAGGTGAATAAATAGATGAAGAAATTATCAGCACTTCAGTCGCAAATTATTTTATGGATGCAGAGCAATAAATCCACACAATAGGTCTGAGAAATAGAAAAGTATGGTAGCTAGCTGCCATGCTAGCATGGGAACAGAGGCCCGGAGCACTTCAGCTCCTTGACTCAGGTCACGCAAGAGCTGGAAATAGAAGCTGGAAGTGTGATTTCTGCACTTCGAGTGTGAGATTCCCTGTATCGGGTCCTCTGAGCGTGTCTGTCATCCTGACTCTGACACACCAGCATCTGCACACTCACAAATTAGCTCTGGACTGGCCCAAAGAGAGCTCTGAAGTCCTTCGTACTTCCTGAGGAAGCACAGCACGAGGCAGCAGACTGAGCAGGTAGCTGCTGAACACGGCGGTAACTCTGTGTGAACATCACTTTTCCCTTAAACTCCACTCATCTGAGGTTCTTGGCCAGGATTTCCTGATTTTTGGCAGCCTGCCCAAAGCTACTGCTGCAACTCCCCTTTGCCAGATGTGTGAAAATCCCTCCAAAATTGCCAAAATCTTCATCTTCCACCAGGATAAAATATGCAGGAGGAAAAAGTGGGTACATGTAAGGAAGCAGAAGCATGTGAAATCACTGACCGGCTCTGCAGGGCCACTGTTGCAGATTTCCAGCCCTGACGGACACCAGACTGGGTGATGGTATAAGGGCAGGGACATAATGACATGCTGGGAGCTGAGTGTCTGAATGTGATGTGGCATTTTCCATATTCCGGGCCAGGAGTCCCACTTCTTGTCAGAGGTGGTCATTACGTCATCAATGACGTTAATAAGGTAGAGAAAGAGCACTGGGTAGGGACCTCTGTGTCAAAAAATAAGTCAGAGCTCTGAAGTACAGGAAGATGAGGTGGGGTTGTCCAAGTCAAGAGTGCTTCCAAAAATGGGGGTGAGGCTGTTCACCAGAGAGGATATTCACACTTTTCCCAGTGCTCTCATTCAGCAATGTGCTGGGAATAACCTCAGGATTTCAGCTCCATGTCTGCATCATCTTCAGGAAGGCGACAAAAGGACGGGCAGAAACGGGGGCCAAGAGGATGTTTGTTTAAGTGTCACTGGATTTGCTGGCAAACGCGCTCCCTTATTGTACCTACTGCACCACGACAGAGCCACTGGCACAGAAAGAGTACCTAGAGCTATTAGCTAACTGGGAACTTCACACAGCTTGCCTGTTAGATACGTTTGGTATTAGCATCTCTATACTGAGCCGACGTGTCTAGACCGGATTTCTCCCTGGCAACACTCAGTTGGGGAAATCCAGAGGTTCTTACTCCTTCCTCAGCTCAGCAAATGCCATTGGGTCAATGAGAATTCACTGAGTGAGGACTGAGTCAACCTCCTGTTCTTTTGAAGAGTGGCTTCTCTCTGCAAACACCGACAGATCTGCCTCCCTCTAATACTAACTTCTCCCCCAGAAGAATCTAGACGACTACCCCTATACCCCACCAGGTTCCACACCGATCATCAAAAACCAGTCTGCTACAGAAAGACCATAATATTCACCTCATAAGCATATATCATGTGTACTAATACATCACCAGAGCCCTCAAAGCTCAGCCCAAGCAGAAGAGAGCTCCAAGAGCTCCTGCTGCCATGGTGTGGCCTGATGTTTCCACCACAACAGGAGCACTATGACCAGCGCCTGTTACTGAGCTAACTTAGACCAGTTGAAAACTCTCCAAATCCTGCAACAGGTTATAAAAAAGACCTTGCTTTTTGTCAGTGAGCTATGCAGAATTGCATTTGGCATTAGCTGTGAGCATAGATGAGACAACGAACAGGTCAGGTGGGTGAAATGGTCTATCATCTGTTCTGACTGCCATGACAAGGTGAACTGAAAAAAAAAAAAAAATGTGTCTTGAGCAGATATTCTAAGATTTTTAATCTGATTAGTTCCAGATCCTTCACAAAAATCAACGTCGAGTCACTGCTGGTTAAGCAAGAAAGGTGATGCAAAGTTACATAAATGTTCTCATCTCTTCATACAGCCTTAGTATAAGAAAATATAAGTTAATTTAGCTGTTAAAATATGCAAAGTCCTCAGCTTGGAAGAAACATATAATTTTATCTGGTACCTTCTCATGTTTGAAGTGGCTAAAATACAGTGTTATAAAAACAAAGTCACGTTCAGGAGGTCTGTTAAGATAAAAATTAAACTTTCCTCCAGGACTTAGCTTGCTACAGTTCCCACAGACTATTTCAGGAATCTCCCCTGCTCTGGGGAAGAGTGTGGGGCGATCCACCCTAACTCCTTGTGGGTGGAAGCACAAGCACCCAGCAACCTTTATCATTAATTTCCAAATGACAAGAGTAAGAACATTGGGAACATTGATAGCAGTTGCCAGAAGGAAGCCCAAATTTTGTCTGAAGTCACGACTCTATCTTTACTTTTGGTGTGTTGTGTTGACAGGGGAGCACCTTCTGTAAGCTGGCTTCTGAGGGGAGACCAGAAGGATGACCCCCGGGTGCACGTCACCAACTGTCGCAATAACACAAGGCAAAGCTGCAGCATGCTTGTCATCAGGAAAGTCATCGCTAATGACACCGGTTACTACACCTGCATTCATGATAACTCCCCATCTAAAGAGGACCTCATGGCAAAGATTTATGTGTTTGTTAAAGGTAAGAATTTCACTTCTGTTGTTATGGGGGTTTGGTAATGTAAGTTTTTTTCAGCTGTGGGATCTGTGCTAGGGAGAGCAAGCAATCCCACCTCCCCACTGGGCCAGCGCTGGAACAAGCACCAGCTTTGACATCTTGGAAGGGCTGGACATATTTGGATTTTCATGCCAGCTGAATTCATGGGGACACAGATGTGAAAACCAGAATTTGCCTATCTTGTTCAGTTCCAGGACTTGAAAACTAGATTGTCCCATCTAGTTTTGTGTTCCAAATAACCGATACACTGATTTCTTTAAACCTCTTTTCTTTTTCTTTTAAGACTAAATTCTTCAATCCTAAAGGGTTTTGCTATCACAGTGTTTTTTCTAAGATTCCTCCTGAATACCCAAGTCCTCTCTCTTCCCCTTCCCTCCCCAGGCATGAAACTCCCTGACAGCATTCTTTGTAATTCCTCTCTCTCCTACACATTTTCGTACTGCTTTGTCCTTCACATCTGTGAGACATACTCAGCAAAGCTGGATGACTGTATTATACATATTTTATTGTAAAAAATGGCCCATTGCTCATTTTTGTCCTCTTTGAGCTGCCTCTCCCCCATGTGTCAGAATCATTGAGTTCAGATCCAATAATAAATGGAAGCAGAAACTTTAGAGGAGTGTGATCCTCTGTGATTAAGTGAATATAACATACTGAACTACCAACTTTTGCTAGAAGAGCAATCCCAAAAAATGCTGATATTTTTTTTTCAATTCTACTTGATAAATACATTAATAAACCACTGAATCATTCTGGATCTTCCAAGCTGAGATTGTGAGTAGTCAGAAGCTGACTTTTAGTGGCTTCAGTATGGGATGACATGAACTTCACTGGTGGTGAATAGTCTTACTATTCAGTCTCCCACAAGTACTCATGAAAATTAATTAATATAATTTTTCAAGTAAATGCTAAGATGTGACTCTTTGAATCCTCTTACTAAAACAAATGCTAGAAAGGCAATGAGTTTGATATTATTTGAATAGTTCAGCAAACTTATACTTACAGAAAACACAAGTACTTGCTGGACAGCTCTGGCAGCCTCACGGTATCGCTAATGATGGTGAAACCGTCACGAGGCGTGACTTCCAGCCCAGGGGGATTGTGATATGCCCACACAGCTTAATTCAACTTTTGCTCTACTAGGTGAACACACCTGTTTGCTTCATGTGGATGACATTTTCCTGTCTCTTTATGTCTGTTGAAAATAGTCCCTTTCTAGCCTTATCCTGCTTTCCCAGCAAGTCTTCCTCTTATAGCAAAGTAGCTCTTTGGTGTTACTTGTTAGTTCCTGCAGTCATTTTTTTTCTCCCTTTCTATTTCCTTTTTTTAATTTTTCCATGTTACTCTAAGCCCTGGTTGCTTTATCCACCCTAGTTCTTGTGCTGAGCTGTTTCCTTCTCTCATTACACATTGCTCAGATGCCCCTCACCTAATGTTGTTAACCCAGCCCAATGCCTACGCTTCAGGAAATAGTGCAATGAAAACTCAATTCTCTATCCTGATTCAGTGTCCTGGCTGGCTACCCAAGCCTTCGTTACTCTATGGCAGGAGCACGTGCAGGAAATGTTATGGATCTTTTGGGACTGCTTGAGCATTTTCCTTAAGAAAATATCTCAAGTTAAGAAATGCTTGCCAGCAATGCACTTGGAACAGTGCTAATCTAAAAAAATTGCAGGATGTCCTTTTGGTTGCCTGAGACTGCTGTGCCAAGGTTCCCCTGAAAAACAGCGCTGGATGGCTGTTTTATCTAAATCACCCTCCAAGATTGTCCTCTCTCAGTTTAATTGTGCCATACGCCCTCCCTGCTCTAAAAGCTCTTACTCAGACTCCTGTGCTTTAAAAGTTATTGAAAGAAAAGTGGGTAGAAAATGAACCAGCTTGTCCTATGTGCTCCGTGGGTGAAGTAGTGAGAAAGGCAAGTCAGTGGGGATCCCTCTGGTCCATGTCCTAGCGAGCCAGTGGCTCCTCCAGCCCAAAGCAGAGCTCTGTTCAGTCTATAAGCTTGCAAATGCCTGCTGGGATCTGGCCTGTCGGTCTGAGGAAGCTGCTTGGCCCCAGTGAAATGAAGCTATTTATACCTCAGCATGGATGCTGTCCTCGGGGCATGCTCTTCCTCCCATTCAATTCCTGTGTATATTTGTTGAAAGCCAGCAGGCTGTTCTGGGGACAAGAAAGCTGTTCTTCAGTGAGGGCTCTACAAATTGTGGAGTTAAGGAAGGCATTCAGAGTGTCCCTATGATTTTCTTCAATATTTAAACGTGTCTTTTTAAGGAAATTGGTCCGACAGTGCCTGGGCATCACTGAGAAGCCCATCAGTTGTCTCCAAGTGAAAAAACTCAGTTCCCTGTGAGTGCCAGACAGGGGTGAGGTCCAAAAGACACCTCTCCAGACATTTTGTGGAGGGAGCAAGTGCTCAGCAGGGTGTTTATGAGACTGAGCCAGGTGGAGTGAGAAAACGTTGAGCCAGGCCCTGAAGGCTAGAGATTCCTCTGAGGTTACAGGCCATTATTGCCAAATAAGGAAGGGGAATGGTATTTTTTCCCTTCATTCCTGGCCTGCTGCTTGACACCGAAATGAGAACATCATTGTATCGGAAGCCCTGCTTATTGGCTATTATTTCCTGTGCTTGCTTCTGTTTTTACAGCCTCCCTGGTGGAGTTTCTAAGCTCTGTCAGAATCTGGCATTCAGCAGCTCTCCCCCCCCCGGTGCAATTGAGCTGTGACCCTTGCACATCAGTCAGATCATAAGGGACCCGAAGGCGGCAAGGTCAGCCGCCATGCCTCAGCTGCACACTGACAGTCTGGAGGGAGGGAGGAATCGGGATCTTAATCCCAAATAATTGTTCCCGAGGCCTTTTCTGCTTCCCGCTGCAGCTGCAAGTCCCAAGGATCGTAATTATAAAGCAAGACAACTCCCTTCTCCTGTTGCCCATCTCCTTGTTGAAAATACATCGTAGCTCAGGGCTGGAACAGAAATATTTGGGCGGTTTTTAATGGTGGTGTTTAACTTCCTTGCAACTCTGAGGCATAATCTCAGTGGTGAAATGCAGCGCCTGGCTGACCACGGCGCTGCGGTGCTGCATGGGAAGAGCAGCCGAGCAAGCTTCTCGCGGCTGCTGGCAGAGAGCAGGGCGGATGGGGGAAGCCCACCCTCAGCCCCCAGAACAGGCCGTCTCCGCTGAGCCACCTCTCGAGAGCAGGAGCAGTAAAGACGAGTCTTCACTGCCAACGAGCTGCCCACGTAGGAGCCCACGTCAGAAAGTCGCACGTGGGTGGCATTTCCACTGCAAATGCTGCCAAAGCCAGCTAGCCAACGTCATTTGCTTCTATCTCCCCCAATTACCCTTCCCAACCAAACGGATACTTCCCTGTGAGGAACATATGCATTTATTTCATCCTTTGGGATCCCTGGGCCAAAGGGAAGGGCAGGCTGTCTATTTTGTGTTAAAATACAGAAAGCCCCCTCCACAGTGTTTCCTAGGGCACCGATAAAATTTAACATGGCTTAGAGAAGGAGGAAAACCAGACAAATCAAGTAAAGATTAGTTCCACCTTCCCAAAGGGCTATCGCAGGCCCTAGCCTAGACAGAAGTCAGGACTTGCAGCTCTCAGCTATTTGAAATACTGTCACTGTCAGCAAAGCAACTGTCTCAAAGTAAGTTAGTCCTCAGGGCATCAGCTGGAAGAGCTCTCTGTCTCATCTGAAACGCTGCCTCAGCTTTTGCAGTGATTTCTCCTTGCAGCTCTCAGCTCTATGTAGCAGTAAGGGATTTGCTACACCTTTTTGTACCACTCAGTCAATGCATCAGTAGGAAGGAGCAGGAACTCAACTCTGTTTTGCTTCCCTCCATCAGTGACTCGTCTGACATTATTACTGTGGTAGCTGGAACTGGTCACATCTTGCCAAACAGTGTCTAGGAAAGTTCATCCAAGTTTCCAAGCTGTGCTTTGATTCCTGTCCACACACACCAGTTGCACTGCTTTGCTGGAACTGTAGGGCTAAAGGAGGCAATCTCCCCATCGCAGACACAGGGCGAGCGGGCCAGCGACAGACATCCGCTATTATCTTTTATGCAAAGCAGGGCTGTTATTCTGTTTCTTGAAATAATTATGGCCATGATAGGGCTGGTTCTCAAGTAACTACTTCAGAAAGACATGAGTCCCAGCTCCTTTGACCAAGATACTGTAATTGGCACAGAATGATGTGTGTGAGCCCAATACATCAGTGTTGGCTGTTGCACAAGGGTCCAAGTACACGGGGGTAGAATCACCAATTCCTGTTTGGGCCTAGTGTGGTTCACTCTTTGAACACACAGATCGGTGGACATTTTAACAGTGTCTTCCCACCCAGAGCTATTCAGCTGCTGGTGTTTCACCACCTCAGTGTTACCATGAGTTAGGAACATGGCAGGATTGAAGGAGTAATTTGTTTCCATACATTTGGGTTTCAGCACTGATGTTCGCAGGAACACAGTGTCACTAGAAGATACCCCCTGCAGACAATTTGAGTTCTGCCTCCTTTTAAAATTTATATGGACACCATGAAGCACTAGCACTGCAGGCTTGAGCCTTCCAGGAGTGCAGAGAACAAGAATTGGAAATCAAATTTGAAGCAAGACAGACTTTTATATGGGAGCACGAGTCTTGTTAAGGCCATGATGAAGAAAAGAGAAGGATGCATCCAAGCAGCTTGTCCTGTCAGAGCATGCATCTCACTGCTTGTCAGCTCCAGCAGCCAGGCATCCCCAAGGAAGGGTATGAGCTCTCCCTTGCTATTGCAAAGAATGAAGAGGAGAGGTGGTACAAGTCCTGCATCAGGGTAGAGTGTCACATCAACCACAACCTCTTCTTTATCAAACAGTACAGTCCAGAGATGTGAAGTCCCATCTTCTTGATCCCTTCCCCACCAAGAGAAATCTAAAGAGGATGGAAGTGCATGAAAGCACTCCTCACATGAGATCATA